ACTACACTAACTTGCAACTGAGTTCGTTACTTAGAATATATAAATTCTCTAAATTTCCTAAGTCCCTAAACCCTTAAATTCGTAAATCAAGTGAAGTAATTCCTAGGCACTTCGGATACTTGTAGGACGTAAGATTCCCTAAGGTTGTAAAGTCCGACGATAAGGAAGTTACTTACTGCAGTAAAGGAACTTAGATATATTACGTAAAGTAATCAGAGAAGATTATTCCCGGTGTAATGTGCTTGTTTCCAAATATAGTTCATTTAGATTTTAATTTTAGTACAGGATTTAGCAATAAAACACTAAATCGAATAGCAGAATTATACCCCAATCTGAAGTATCTTAATTTGCAAAAAGACAAGTATAAATCCTGTAATATAGGCATAATAACTGATGAAGGTCTATATGCAATTGCCTGATCATGCCATAAATTAGAATATCTAAATATTTCTCATCGCACAGATATTTGTGAATAATCAATTTGTAATGTTATTCATTCTTGCTCAAGACTCCAATAACTTGATCTTAGCTATTATAAAATTACTGATATAACTATCGAAGAAATTGCTAGATCATGTCTAAAGATGGATACTATAATTAAGAAATTGCAACTTGATTGCAACTCCTTGTAAATTTATTTTAATATAAAAATTCATAAATAGTTGCAACTCAAAGCGTTGCAACTTAAGTTGCAACTAGTTAAAAATTTTAAAAATAATTATGGGAACCATCTTTAGTCTAAACATATCTTATTTTTTTGCAGAAAAGTTGGCTGGACTTCCACATATTTCTACATACTTTATATCTTGCTGGGAAAAAGATAAGAAGGTATAAGGCGTAATTAGTATTATTGTGTGATACCAAGAGTTCAATGAAAGCACATGCAAATAAAATCCTCATACCTTTTCACATGTAGATTTACCTTGCAAGACATATAGTTAGTTTTACGCTTGGCTATCTCGAAATTGCTCATCTTCTCCTTTATCCTTTCATAACATATGGTTTTGTCATTACTAAAGATGGGAACTGTAATTAATATGTTGCAACTTTTAATGTTGCAACTTACGTTGCAATTAGTTTTAACATATATATGTTGCAACTTATAATGTTGCAACATATGTTGCAACTAATTTTAGCTTATGTTGCAACATTTTGTAAATTTGAAATCAATTGCTGTACCATCTTTAGTCATTACTATTTACCTATAAGTTAGGTCCTGTGTTGCAACTAGACCTTCTTTCACATTTTTCTCATGTTTGTTTGAAAAAAAAATAGAGGTATTGGTTAGCAAATATATGGGAGCTGATCTATTAAAAGTGGGTTATGAGACATAGTAAATCATATGATCCGTATCTTAATTTTAATAGAATACTACCCATATATGCGAAATTAATATGTGAAAATATTGCACAGATCTATTATGTGATCAGCTATTTTGTCGCATAATCTGTGACTTAGCAAAAAATATTCTGAACTAATGGTCACTGCTTCAGATTAGCTAGATTAGTAGTGAACCAGTATTCTGCTTGATCAACTAGTATTCTATCAAAATAATTCCTCAGTGATCATCTATTAGGTTGTCATTTATCTGATATAACGCCTATACCAGATTCTGATGTAAAATTTAATCAGTTCAGGTCGTATCAAGAATATCAGCTAAAGTAGACTGTACTAGTTTAGACCAGAAGTTTTGTATGTATGCAAGCGAAAATTTCTCACAATAGACTCTTGTAATTAGGAAAATAAAATGTATTTTATTTTTACTCAAGCTGACAGGATTAAAAAATATGAAACGGAAAGACTTATCAAGTATTTGCAGGAGGATTCCAAATCAGAAGGCTTAGAACTTGACAATAACTTTTTTATAAAGCTTGAGGAGAAAGAAATCACCAGTAGTTTATTTCTTAAGCTAACTGGATGGGATTTTAAAGAATACGGAATAATATTAAGACAAGCATTAGAATTTGAAGATTATATAAAGAGGTTAGGTGAGTAATTAATTTTGTTGAGCCAGACATTTTGCTTAACATTATAGCTAAGGATGGTACTGCAATTGTTTTTTCAAATCTGCAATATTGCGGATTTTTGAATTGAATTACGCATAGTAAT